TCAATTTGAATGAGATCTTCAACCTGATCCATTGACCCGGTACTAGTTCTAGGTGCTATTGTAGGCAACAAACAATTTGGTTCATCTAGGAGGGAAGCACTTGCAGTTATTACTGGTTGGTCTAAAATTGCATCTTCGTTCTGGGCGTTACTATCAGAAGGAACTGTTGCAGCATATATGCGATCTAAGGAAAGTTGAAGACGATTGGCTGTGGCCAGTAAATTATTTTTTTCAGCCAAAATCATTGAATTCTCGGTATTTATTCGTGATAACCTATCCTGAACATGTATAAGTCTAGACTTGATTTTACGAAACTCATTTTCTCTATTATCAACATCAAATTCATCAATACTGCCAAGCAATCCATCCAACTTACTACTACATATTGCCATCTCGTTCATTGGGTCAAAATTCACTGTAGGCTCACCAGGACTACTCCCACTCTCAGCACGCAACGCTTGTCTCAACAATGATCTTTTGTCCTGCACCGTTCCATTACCCAACTCTGATCCACGAACCAATAATTCATAAGTGAGTTCGTCACTCAACAACCTATTGATATCCATTTCCACAATGCAGAGAGATAATATAAGAGAAGAAAAAAAGAAGTTTCCTCAAGAGAAAAAAAAGAAAAAAAAATACTCCCTATTAACTGTACTGATTCTGTACTGAATTCTACAAAACCCCCTTCCTTCCCGGAAGAAAAAAAGAAAGAGAAAAAAAAAATCAGGAACAACCAATTGAATCCACCAACTGATTTTTTAACCACAAGGTCCAACAACACAAAAAAAACCTGATAAACCAGCTAACAGCCACGAAACAACACCCAGCTGGATCACCCTGTATAGTTCTCCGAAAACCTGTGTCAATAATACAGTCAAAAAAAAAATATACACAAGTATTGGTATTAAAAAAAAACTTCAGGTAGGTAAACCTGTCATGTGTTACCAGCAGAGTGAGGAAAAAAAGTATTATCAGTAATGCCTGCACTGAAAAGAAAAAATAATTGAAATACAGATGTCAGAGTAGATAATAGCAGTTCTTAACTCATTAAGAAAGGGAAGAAAACAAATATATATATCAAGTCAAATAAACTGATTTGGCACTTGATAATATAACACCCTTTAGGTGTAGTGTGAATAAAAATAACTTGATATTTATTTTTAAATTCACTAGGGCTGACCCTATGTAATCAACAGCAAGTAATTCAATATATCAATAATGATTCTTATTACAAGAAAGCATGAAATTATCTCATATTGAAGAAATATGTTAGAGGAATAAAAATTAGAATGCTGCTATTATCACTTGTTCTACCCTGTATTACCAGCAATGAGAAAAAATAATAGTGTGCATTTGCTAAGAATGCCGGAAACTCATTCTAAAGCCACCAAGTTTACCATAAAAAAAATACCAGCTTTTTATAAGTGTACACCCTGTAAGTACCTATATGAAAATTTCAAGTTTTTCTTTTTTTTTTTTTTTTTTAAATAACTAGAAAAATATTTCCATTTTTGTTTTCACTATATAATATTTCAAGAATATCCTGTGATATTAAATAAAAATAAATGAAAAAAAAAAATATGTACTGAATTTAAACTACCACCAATGAAAATTCAAAAATTACTCAACAATATCCACCCTAGTGCCAACTGAAATTTTTGGGCGCCATTTGTAACGGGTTCCATTGTTTATAGCTGCTTTGTTACCAGAGTTGTTAACAAATTGGTTTAGGCTGTTCACCCTCAATTAAAGGATGTGCAAATTGAGATAGATTTTTCGTTACAAAAATAAGTGTTTAAAGTGCCTGATTATAAACAGTAGAGATCAAACACTGACTAGCTCAGTGGGACACTGGGGTGAGTAAGGTTGGTAGGGTGGAATTATAGCCATAAATTTGACTGTATCCTTTACTGAATATGGTTGAATATGGTAGTTATGACATAAGCTGCTAACTATGTAGACATCACTAGAAAAACATTTCCATCAAGTAAATAGCAACAAAATATTATGTAGGTACCTCAACATATATACCTTATGAAATATAATGACCCCCCTTATTCATGAATTTAGACACAATTATGTTGAAGTCTGGTTTCTTCCAGAACAATAATAATTTACCAATGTGATCACTATGGTTTACAGTGGTGAGTGGAAATTCAGCAATATGATACCCCTTATTAATTATTGAGGTCAACATTATACATGGTCATACAGTACATAGATCCGCAGGCGAAATGTTCAACTTGAAAATCCTTGGTGGTAGGTATTTCTTGAATGGAGATAAAAATGGAGCAGTCTTACCAGATTGCAGGTATTTTCTGGCAGCTACACCATAAGTACATACATATAGCTGGTGATACTATAATGGGTGACTTCCCAGGCTGGGGCTGCTTCCAGACAATGCAGTGCTGCTGGTGTCAGGTGGTTTAGACAGGAACTACTGGGTCAGTGTAATGCTTGGCATAATGCAGCACCAGACAGCAGTCTGATAACAGGGACAACTGAAGACATCTTGCAGGAACATCGACAAGAGAAGAAGCAAAAGGACCAAAGTGAAGTAGATAAAAAAAGAAGGGAAAAGAAGAAGCCCTAAAACAAAAGAAATATCACTTACAGGATTATATTCCAAGCCTAGTGAACCTGCATGGCACATGGTAGTACAACATACCTTGGATGGTGGGCGGGCTATTGGGTAGGCCGGTTGAATGATGCTATTAATCCCCTTATAGGGTATTTCTTTCCAAAACAGAGGAAACGAAATGTTGCGAGTTGAAGACCTCCAAATAATCCCACTAGCTGTGGATTCCGTTCACAAACACGGTACAAATTATGGAGCTCTTCCTCGGCACCAATGCAACCAGACACACCTTTACAAAATGGTGCCCTTTTCAGGCTGGAGACTTGTAGGTCCTCCTCACACATTTTTTTTGTACCCCATAAGCACGTCATTTCCCATCGTGACGGTGTACACAAAAAATACGAAATTCAAATAACATATTGGGTATAACTCCCCATTTCCAAGCAAAACTACATCACTTTGTTACGATGTAAGGCATCTTGAGACGCCGTTATGACACTGAGAAAACCCGGGAAAATATCGTTACAAACCGATATTCGTTACGAACGGCTACGAACTTAAAACCACCCAGGCCTGCGCAGTAGCGTTCATACACATTGACATAGAACACAGAATACTAGTCCAGAAAACAAAGAGTCGAAAGCGAAAGAAGAGGTCTCTTCGAGTCCAGGAAACAAGGAGTCGAAGGAGAAAGAAGATACCTAAGATAATAGCGACGAATACCGAAGTACCACCGCGGTATCAACCAAGGGTCGACTCACTTGACGAATAGTCTCAGAACTTTACTATCAGGCTTTAGGAATCGATTCACAACTTACTGCTGGCCAACCGTATAACTGACAACCAACTCGATGTTGGACACGCCAGTAACTCACTATGACGTCATGACCAAAACCACCGACCTTGATAAAATACTGTAAGCCAACGATAAGTACTCCGCCGTGTAACACCGAATTGACCCGAAGTTGAGGAGACTAAATGGTAATAAGTCGACGGTCGATTCACACCACTGTGTGTTCCGTGTTTCGTGCCATTAGACCAAAGGTGTCAGGTGTCAGGTGACAGGTGACGATGTCGACAGTCGACACTCAGCTGATACAGATTTGACAATACACAAAGATTATATAAGCAGTGAAATTAACCCTCCACTAGATAATATCACTCAATATCTTATTTCCAAGGGACCTATTAGGAACAGGGCTGAATTACAACTTACAAGTAGTAAGTATTCCAGACTCAAAGCAATTTAGGTGTAACGAACATTACGTAAATGACACGACATGCAGCTCCATAGTACTAAAATGATAATAAAATATCATCATTTCGGATTATCTTCAGCCAGGAGAGAAGACAAGAAGCATAATCATACCCAAATAACTACCTGGTTTCCAGATATAAATCCATTGAAAAATGAGAGCGAACAAAACCCTGAGGTGAGTACCTTTCTACCACAATCATGGTTTGTCATGCCCATATCAGACTGAGAGTGCTATTTTCGTTTTAGCTACTAATAGCAGGATCGAAGGTAAACAAAGTGTGGAATGCAGAGCCGAGAGGAATGACAGTGTGAGACAAAATACCCAGTACCAATTGAAGACAACACTCGCAGCAAAAGACCGAGAGCAATGCTGGGAACCCACAGAATGAACTTTCAAAATGTAGTAACAAATTGTTATTATTGACCTGATCCGAATAAATGACTGTTGATGTGTTTCAAGTAAGTGATACAGCCGTTTTCAACTAAGTTAAATTTGAATTGTAACAGATGTTATTCGCGATTTAACCGAAAAAATTTTCGAAATTCAACTTCAACACTTGTCAGTGATTGATTAATATGTTGAAAAATTCTTCTGTTTCGCGGTTTTCAAACAAGTCATGGTGAGGTTTTCTTTTTCCAGTTAATTCATTCACAAGCACTTCATCATCTTCCTCCTCTTCTTGTAGCAAAACGAGGCAAATAGCTTTTCTTTTCTGATCATTTCTCATTTTGCACCCCGACGACAATACAACCATCATCCATGGACGTTCATTGAATATTAAATATATACTGTCGACGGTGTAGGGGAAACCAGCCAATCAAACCGTCAGCGGCAACCTTCAGCGCCATGCTTCCAACGGCAGCCGCTGACGGCGTGAAGGAAACCATATCTTTACATTCAAAAATACGGAAAAGTGCGAACAGTAGATTACAACCACTTCGACAAAAACCAGTACCACTATAGTACGCTTGAAATTCAATTCAATTCAATATCAATATTTTCAAAGGAAAGGGAAGCTAAAATTTTAAGGAACATCAAAATATCCACAATGATTGACGAAACTTCTTTGCAAGTATAATGATAAGTGTTTCACGTACCAAAAAAGCGTTGCCAAAAATACCGTCTGAGAAATCAGTGCAGCACGAACCCGCGCAACTCACCTGTAGATGAGTTTGTTGATGGGAAAGGTGATGGCCGTGGTGGTCACTGCTGAACCCAGTCCGCAGACGAAGTCCCTGGTGTAGGAGTTGGACACCATGAGTCGTGTTCACATTGGCATTTCGATTTTTAAATTTTAAATGCGTCAGAATGACAGACAGACTGTCAGGCAGGACGCGATCGGATTGTTCCTTTGGTTCTTCTGGTGTACCGGAAGGACCACGTGAAATTTACAGCGTTTTCCACTCGTCGCACTAGCTCGAACTTTTTCGGCACTGAGTGAGAATTTCAAGAGCGTACTTTTGTCGAGAAATGATTTCCACTGGCTTTCAAACTTGCTCGATGCCCGCTCAGAGTTCGAGTTTTCAGAACTGGCTTGCACATCGGAGGCACCCCTTGTTGACCATAATCCCTGAATTCTACTTGCCCTGCCTGATTGTGTTTTGAATGTTGTGTGTTTGTGCATAACCCTGTGTTCCCCATTGAACCTGAAGCTGTATAGCCTGTGGCCCTAAATAAGACCCTGTATTTCTTCGTGGGCCCGAATAAGACCCTGTAATTGTTTGTGAACCTGAATTAGACCCTGTATTGGCCTCTGTATCTGAAAACATCCTGTTGCCCTGACGTGAGCCCGAAAATGAACCTGGTGTGTTGTTAGTCTGATGTTAGCCTGAGTTGTCCGATCTGAATTTTTATACGGGGTGTTCCATTTAAAAAAATTAAGTTGCTAGGACTTTTTGCTAGAAACGGCAACGTCGCAATTTCTAAAATATTTTAGATCGATAGAACAGGTGATAAAATGTAAGATGCGAGATTTTCAGAAATATCCTGCGTTGCGTTCTCCATAAACGTCTGTGAAAGTTTGAAATGTTTTGCTATTTTTTCACCATTTTTGATTTTAAACGCTAAAATGATTGGCCTATTAATCATTATGTATGGATCAGAATTTGAAAAGGATACGTGCAGTGCCTTCCGTCCTGCAAGTCAGATACACGCAAGCGGCGTGAACGTGCGTGAACTTCCTGCCTCTGGTGAGGTTCCTCGAGAGCGCCATCTTGAAGAAGCTGCACGCCGTATCGATGCAGTGCTGGTTCAGCCTGAGCTGGCTGCACAGGTTGGCGATGCCGTTGCGCGCCTTCCTGAGCGTTATCTCTCTCGACTCGCCGCTGTCGCCCACGTGGAACGCTGGATCAGAAAAGATCGAGGGGTTGACCACAGGGGTTTCTCACCCCCATTAAGCTAGCAGCACCAGTTCAGATTTTTAATTTTTTTCTTCGGCCATAACTCAAGGCTAATTTATTACTCTGTTAACGAATTTCTCTTCGATTTATGCAAAAAATTAACGTTAAGCTAGCAGAACCACTTCGTAAATAAAAGTTCAACCACAATAGTTATTTATGCAACAAGTGCAAAAAGTGAATGTTTATTGCACGAGTTGCATACAACATTTTTTCTACGTTCATGCAAAAAGCAAAAAATGATTTATTGAGGTGCGGCAATAGGTGTAAAAAAATGAAAAACGCAACTTGAATACTTTATTATTAATATCGATTTGCATTGAAACAGGAACTAATACGTTACGAACAATTTAACTCAAACTTCATTTTTACCCTCAATGTTGAAAGTGAATGAACAATTGGTGCAATTTTCAATATAGAATGACAGATGAGTGCAATAAAAACTTTATTGCACTAAGTGCAATAAAGAACTTCTTTTTCCACTAAATATAGTTCAATAAAGTTCTGCTTTTTGCATGAATGTAGAAAAAACTAATTATACCATAATTTGAGGCTAATAAATACAGAAAGCTCAGTCATTTCCACACAATGTTCATAGAATGAACAACAATGGTAGATTTCGGGAGAAAAACGCAGAACATTGAAAGACATCCTCCCGGAATATACAGGGTTGGGCAGAAGTATGGAACCAGGTGAATATCTCGGTAACCGTTTGTTAGATTTTTTTGTATATATGTACAGGGTGATTTCAAAACGTAATGGATTCGAAAATGTTATCGTCGATGTTGCCACTTTTTCAGTTATTCCGGATTTATTATCAACTTCCGAATTTTAAATAGAACACCCTGTATTTTATTGAATTTTCAGATTCTCCCTGAAAAGCTGATTTCACATCGATTCATCACACTTAGGGTCTAGCAAGAATGATTACTGAGATATAGAGTGTTCAAAATCGAGTTTTCTCAACTTTAGGATTTAGGATAGTGTCGAAACTATTCATTATCGGTCAAAACGGCTTCCATGTCCGTATCATAACTTTAGATCTACTATCTATTGGTATTTAATGGGAACAGATACAGGGTGATCAGATTTCTGAATCCTGAACCACCCTGTATTTGTTTCAATTAAATGTCGGTAGATAGTGAATCAAAAGTTGACGTGGGGACATGTGAGCCGTTTTGACCAATAGTGAATAGTTTCGACAAAAAAAAATCCTTAAGTTGAAAAATCTCGATTTTGAACACCCTATATCTCAGTAATCATTCTTGCTAGATCCCAAGTGTGATGAATCGATGAAATCAACTTTTCAGGGAGAATATTTGTATTCAATAAAATACAGGGTGTTCTATTTAAAATAAGGAAGTTGATAATAATTCCGGAATAACTGAAAAAGTGGCAACATCGACGATAAAATTTTCAAATCCATCACGTTTTGAAATCACCCTGTACATATATTCAAAGAAATCTAACAAACGGTTACCGAGATATTCACCTGGTTCCATACTTTTGCCCAACCCTGTATGCATAGACTCATATAAACAAATGAGTCTAGCTAAGATGGCTACATGTTGCCAGAGATGTATAGAAAATACATCTCTATGTTGCCATCTTAAGTCTAGCCAAACAAAAATCAATTCGACATTATATTACACCAGAGGCGTCTTTCATACACAATATGAAAGCAACGCCATCCTGAGTAGAAACGAAGGAAAGAAACACTCCAAAACTGAAATTCCCATACGGGAGTGGCTGGCGTAATTTCAACTGTGAAATAGCCACAATGCTCAAAGTGGAATAAAATGGTAAATAAATACAAAAAGCTCAAAGTCATTTCCACACAATGTTCATAAAATGATTTCGGGAGAAAAACAACTACTTCGGGAGGATGTGATTCAATGTTCTGCGTGGCATTAGCCAGGAAAGTAGTTGTTTTTCTCCCGAAATCTACCATTGTTGTTCATTTTATGAACATTGTGTGGAAATGACTCCGACCTCATTTTAACGGCTCATTCTACTTTGAGCATTGTGGCTATTTTGTAGTTCAAATAGAAGGAATATAAGGATACTGAGTACACCATAATAGGGGCTATTTTGAAGCTTTTTTTGGTTTGTTATTGGTTAGTCATGTTCAAGTTGGATTTGGGAAATTTTTTGCAAAAACAAAAACAAAAAAATCGACGATAGGCTCAACAAAGAGCCTTAAAATAGCCTTGAATTATGGTGTACTCAATTCCTTTTATTTTAGATTTGGTCCAGCTAGCTTAATGGTTAAGCTAGCAAAACCCATGTTTTTTTTAGAAAACAATGTGCGAAAAAATCGGCAGTAGGATAGGACAAGAGCCTTCAATTAGCCTTAAATTATGTTATAATTTGTTCCATGATTGATTTTTTTCTGATTTGCTATTTTATTTTAACGTTCATGTTAAATTTGGGAAAATTTTTGCAGAAAATGACCAACAAAAAAATCGATAATAGGTTCAATGAAGAACTTATGTGAAGTTGGCACCGACTTTTTTGAAAAACTGAATTTTTATTGGAGTTCTGGGTAGATACGATAGAGTTCTGGAGTTCCTGACGAAAAATTTCAATAGTTCTGGTTAATTGTAGAAAATAACCGAAAAAGAAAATTGTGGGTGCTAACTTCACGACGCGGCGCCGCTTTTTTCACAGAAAAGAGTTGTGATGAGAAATTTCGACGTATTTTAAAGAGTTCTGGAGTTCCTGATATATTTCAACGATAGTTCCGGCGAAATAACAAAGTTATTCCTACTTTTAATAGGGACATTCATACGCTCATGTAGCATCCACCACTTTCTAAAGTTCAGATCGGAGTTCTGGGTAGCACCAGTCGTGTTCCACATACTATCTTTTTACATTTTTTCTCTAAAATGTTTTCATAAGCGGAAAAGAGGGACCAATGGAAAAAAAAGAGTTTTGTGAAAGATTTGGAATGGAGAGACAATAGAGGAGTTCCGATCGGAGGTCTGGGTAGCACCAGTCGAGTTCTAGATACTATCTTGATAATTTTTTTCTGTAAAATCAAAACTTTAGTTTTTATAAGCGCAAAAGAGAAACTGATTGAAAAAATAATTGTTTTGTGAATGATTTGGAAAGGACAGACAATAGAGGAGTTCTTATCAGAGTTCTGGGTAGCATCAGTCAATTTCCACATACTATCTAGGTAACTTTTTTCTCTAAAATCGGAACTTTAGTTTTCATAAGCAAAAACAAGGGACCGACTGAAAAAAAAAGTTTTGTGGAAGATTTGAAAAGGATAGACAATAGAGGAGTTCTTATCGGAGTTCTGGGTAGCACCAGTCAAGTTCCACATACTATCTAGGTAACTTTTTTCTCTAAAATCGAAACTTTAGTTTTCATGAGCGAAAACAAGGGACCGACTGGAAAAAAAGTTTTTTGAAAAATTTTCGATTTTAGAGAAAACAGTTATCAAGATACGAGTCAAGATATTATGTAGAACTGGACTGGTGCTACCCAGAACTCCGATCAGAACTCCTCTATTGTCTCTCTTTTCCAAATCGTTTACAAAACACTTTTTTTTTTTCGGTCCTTCGTTTCCGCTTATAAAAACTAGAGTTTCGATTTTAGAGAAAAAAGTTACCTAGATAGTATGTGGAACTCGACTGGTGCTACCCAGAACTCCGATCCAAACTTTAGAAAGTGGTGGATGCTACATGATCGTATGAATGCCCCTATTAAAAATAGGAATAACTTTGTTATTTCGCTGGAACTATCGTTGAAATATATCAGGAACTTCAGAACTCTTTCAAATACGTCGAAATTTCTCATCAGAACTCTTTTCTGTGAAAGAAGCGGCGCCGCGTGAAGTTAGCACCCACAATTTTGTTTTTCAGTTATTTTCTACAACTAACCAGA